CTCGCGGTCGAAGAGCAGGACGTTCTCCGGTTTGATGTCCCGGTGCACCAGGCTCTTGCTGTGCATGTAGTCGAGGGCCAGGCCCAGCTGCTGCACGCAGCGCTTCACCAGCTCCTCGGGGAGCCCCACCTGTGGGCACGGGGACACAGCGTCAGCCACCCGCCACCAAACCCTGTGGGGCTCCCACCCAGCTCGGGGACCACCATATCCCTATGTCGTTACGCATCCGACATGGTTGCGGCCGCTTTTGTCTGGGGTGCTCACTGTATCGGGGACACAGGTGGTGGGTGATGGGTCTCAGGACCTCCAGGGGATGGGTGATGGGTCCCAGGCCACCCATGGGATGGGTGATGGGTCCCAGGCCACCCAGGGGATGGGTGACGGGTCTCAGGCCACCTATGGGATGGGTGATGGGTCCTAGGACACCCAAGGGATGGGTGATGGGTCTCAGGACCTTCAAGGAATGGGTGATGGGTCCCAGGCCACCCAAGGGATGGGTGACGGGTCTCAGGCCACCTATGGGATGGGTGATGGGTCCTAGGACACCCAAGGGATGGGTGATGGGTCTCAGGACCTTCAGGGAATGGGTGATGGGTCCCAGGCCACCCAAGGGATGGGTGATGGGTCCCCAGCCACCCTAGGGATGGGTGATGAGTCACAGGCCACCCTAGGGAGGGATGACAGATCCCAAGACTTGCCTGTAGGTGCTTGTGGTCAGGGCTGACCCATACAGAGATGCCCGGTCCCCATGCATGGGGCCGCCTCCCACATGGCCACGGAAGCACAGGGGCAGCTCTGCTCAGTGCCCTGGGGATGCTGATCTCCACCAGCCCCCCACCCCAAAAGGGCTCCCATGGGAGGGGCAGGGGGTCCCACCTGCGGCGGGATGATGTCGAAGAGGTCCCCACCGGGGGCATACTCCTGAGCGAAGACGTAGCAGTCCTCGGTCTCGAAGACCACGTCGAAGACTTTGATGATGAAGGGGCTGGAGGAGAGCGTGTTGGTGATGCTGAACTCCCGCAGGAAGTTCTTCAGCTTGGTCTTGCTCTTGTTGACGAATTTCAGGGCCATCTTGGTGCCTGCGGTGGGCAGGGGGTGGAAGTGAGCCTGGGGCACGGTTGGGACATGCCGGGCACCTGGCTCCCAGCACGGCCACGGGCCCTGCACCCCCTTCCCTGCTCCCCTCACCTGTGCTTTTGTGGGACACCAGGTCCACCTTGCCGTAGGTGCCCTTGCCGAGCTCGCGGATGAGGTCGTAGTGCTTGCTGATGTCGGTGCCCGAGAGGGTGCGGATGGCCAGGGACTGCATGTCCTCGGTGATGAGGGGCACCCCGCAGCAGGCCAGCTTGCGCGACGGCTCTTGCTCAATCGAACCCACACTCATGGCTGTGCTGCAAGGCAGAGGCGCATCACCGCTTTCGGTGGGTGCTGCAAAGCCACCGCGCCCCATCCCATCCCATGCCATCCCATCCCTTCCCTTCCCATGTCATGTCATGTCATGCCATGCCATGCCATGCCATGCCATGCCATGCCATGCCATGCCATGCCATCCCATCCTGTCCCATCCCATCCCCATCCCCAACCCTATCCCATCCCCATCCCCATCCCCATCCCGTCCCATCCCATCCCATCCCATCCCATCCCATCCCATCCCATCCCATCCC